CCAAATGATTTGAATGAACAGCATGGAAAAAATAGTAAAAAAAGGCAATACTACCTGGAACTGATTTAACTGTCCAAAACCGGATTATATGTCTTTTAATTCGAGTAAGAATGTCCAAAAAGCCAAAAAAAAGCAGACAAACAGAAGTCCGACAATGATTTTTCGACGCGCGGACAATTTTCCAGTGACAAAAAAAAAACAGGTCCTGGACGGATTCGAACCATTGACCTTGGTTTTTACAGGAAGGCGCATTACCTTATCGCGACATGCAAGAATTAACGTCTGACTTTTGATTTCATATGAACCGAAGGTAAATTGGTTCAAAAGATTCTGTTAAACTAGTTGTCCCGAAAAAAAGTCGATACTCCTGTTTGATAACGCTTGCTAATCGCAAGCATAAACATCGATCGCATCACAACACTAACATGCCACTATTACTCAACGCACTTGACATTTAGCTAAGTACTTAATTTTACTCGGCAAAAACCTAAGGACAAAGCCTTAGTTCAACCGCAATTTCAGTGAATGAACAGTGAAAGATTCCAGACTTAAGAAAAACAACTCTGTTTAAAATTACACTAGGGGCCGAATTATAGCTGGAGGTACCTGGTGGATATATTTTGAATTTGTTGTACTGATGATTCGGGATGAAATGGGTAATTTCACAAAATCAAACAATGGGCTTCACCCAAAACCTTAGTTGTTTCTATAACAAAAATAAATGAAAAAAGTTTTAGAGAATTTGGAATTTTTCCCAGAACATAACAATTTTCATTGAAACTTATAGGCATAGCCGCTGATGCAGGGAGGCTTTCCACAAACTGTCGCCTCGATTAAACCCTTGATATCAGATTCGGCTGGGTAGTTTTCGAGAAAAGTTTTCAAATAACGGACAAGTAATCAAAACATTGCCTTTTCTGAGGACGATAGTTTTTTTGCAAAACGATTATTTCAGGGGAGCGTTTCCCAAACCTTTCTAAGGAGTGAGCTCAAAATCTTACATTTGAGATGGTAATTTTCGAGACCTTCAAAAAGTTTCAAAAAACGGTCAAAAATTTGATTTTTTCGACAAACCTAGGTTTCTCTGGAAAGAAAATTGAGCATAGCCGCTCTCTCAGGGGAGCTTTGCACTTACGAATCTCTCAATTGAACCAAAAATTTCAGATATGGGCGTATAGTTTTGGATAAATCAAAAAGTTTTTTAAAAAACGTTCAAGAAGACTCGTTTTTTTTCTGATTGAAATTGAGTCAAAACTTGAGTAGACAAACGAATGTCGGGCTATTAAGTTTTAACGGAAGTTCATTTTCACTTTTTTGATTGCAGTTTTTTCATTTTGTACGTTTTTGTTTCCAAAGCATAGGTTTTTTGTTCAAGGCAACGGCGTTACACCCTGGCCAAAAACGAAGAAAACTGGTTCAATCATAGATAAACTGGTATCAAGATAAAATTTGTTAAGGAAATAAAAGAAAGTAGAGAAGATTTTGTGCCTAAAACAAAACTGCACTTGTCACAAAAATATAAACTATTAGTTTTAAAAGTTCTTACGAACGACAAAATCATAACCAAAGACTTTCCTCTGAAGGTTTCTTTCAACTAAATGTTTTGGATTATGTAATTTCAGCTTAGTCAAATTAGGTGGCGTAGTTTTGAGAGTAAACTCATTTGTTATGATTTTATGTCGTTCGTAAGAACTTTCAAACTTATAGCTTAAAATTTTTGTGACAACTGCAGTTTTGTTTTAGGCTCAAAATCTTCTCTTCTTTTTTCTATTTCCTTTACAAATTTTATCTTTATGATTGAAACAGTTTTCTTCCCTTTTGACCAGCGTGTAACGCCGTTGCCTTGCACAAAAAACCTATGATTTGGAAACAAAAACGTACCAGATGAAAGAACTGCATTCCAAAAAGTGAAAATGAACCGATGGAAACAAGGACTAAAAACACGACTACAAAAAATTTCAAAATGATATTTTTTAAAAAACCTATTACCTGCTACGATTAACTGCCTAAATGATGGTAGTTTAATTTAAAATTTCAAGAAACTTAGCAAGTCAGCAGTCGTTAAGTTCACCAGTCCTACTAAAATTGAAAACCTGTGAAAAAAGTTATTCACGGGAAAAGGTCTAGGAACCGATTGCAATATCATTGATTATCGCAAAGACAATCAGACACCTTGCCTCCAACAAAACACAGTTTTGGCGTGTATAGAAACTAAGAAATCATGAATTATATTTACCCTCTTGAAAAAAATACAGCAACAAAACACCCGGCCAGTAAACCGACAAAAAAATGAAACTACATCTGAAATTTTGTGCGATCTGGTGGGAAGCAAAATTATGTTTCTCTTAGAAGAAATGGCTCAATAGTAGATCAATAAACCGATAAAATATAAGCCGAAATCATTTGGGTAGAATGAAGTTTTTGAGCGAAAAAAAAAAACAAAAAAAAATAAAATAAACGAAGTTAAGGGTAATAATTAAAAATGGCAGAAGTAAATCAAAGCAACAAGAAACTAAAGACATAAAAATTGAAACAATGAAGTTCTTAACTTTGAAATCTTGCAACACCAAAAAACTTATGGATAAAAAACGAACGAAAAAGAAAACCAAGGAAACATACTACGTCAGAGCTAATAATGTTACGATTTATACGAGTGAACCAAAAACACTTCCATCTTCACTGAAAACGCCGAGACACAAGAAACTTCCACGATGTGGCCACTACGCCGACAAAACATAAACACACAAACGAAAATTCGACAACTCAATTTTTCGCGGAAAAAAAATCCATTTCATGCATACTGAAAAAAATAGAGTCCTTCTGGGGCTCGAACCCTAGACCTTTAAAAAAAAAGAAAAACGCATTACCTCGAGGTCAAATGCGAAAGTAGTCTCATAATTGCTATGGTTCACAAATAAATCAACCTCACCAAATGTGTAAGAGACAAAAAAGTATAGTTCCCGACTACAAGACACTTGCTCTCCAACGGTCAGAAATTCGAAAACTTGACTATTCGTAGCGCCATAACTTTTCGTGTAAAAGAATTTGGACAAATCAGCTTATTCAGGGGAGCTTCCCTCAAATCGTTCATTCGCTCACAATCAACATTCCTGTATGATAAAAATAGGTATTATGAAAAAATTATTTGCATCGAGCTTTTATTTTGTTTTTAGGGACACGCTTTGGAAAAAAACTATTTTCTCAAAAAATACTCAGCGATTTTCGAAAAAATCGATACAATGGAAATTGCGCCCACTACCCTGTATGTCTGAATAATGTTTCTTTGTATCTTACCCCTATTTTCTACATCCTTCAAAAAAGTATGCGGAGAAATTTTGACCGCTATTTTTGGACTTTTATTTTTCATTTCCTCGATAACCGCCCACCAAAATCTGAGATTTTGGATTCAGTGGATAAAACTGGTCAGGGGAAACTCCTCTTTCTATGCGGATGCGCCACTAATTTTTTTACACTAAGTTATGGTCCTGGGAAAATTCAAAAATTCGATTTTTTCCACGTTTTTTGAAATCTACTCTACTAAATATAAAGTTTTGAATTCAATCAAAAAGATGAGTGTCGGAAAGCGCCACTGCATAAACGAATTTAGAAAAATTCCTGTATGAACGGCAAGCTCACATTTGTTTACACGAAAAATTATGACCCTCAACCCCTTCTATCCAATTAACGCAAAATCTCAGAATGAATGAAAAATGATCAAAAAACCAAAGTATTGACTCTTCCAAGGGCCATAAATTTTCGTGTACGCAAAATCGAGCATAGCAACTTATGAAGGGGAACTTCTAACAACTCGCCCTTTCCATTGAAAATAAATCTCAGATTTAGGAGGGTAGTTTTTGAGAAGCCACAAAGTTTCAAAAACGATCAAAAATTCAAAAATTTGATTACTCTCAGAGCCATAAATTTTTCTTTCATCCAATGAAGCCAAAAGTTCAGATTTGGATGTCCAGTTTTCGAGAAAACGAAAAAATCTAAAAGTAGCGGCTAAGATTTACCCCTCATAGACTTTTGTGAAGGCCGTAGAAAACGCATTAAGATAAAAAGAGACAAGCGAATTATGCAAGCAAATAGAGGAGTGGGTGCAATCTCAAATGGTACCAAACTTTTTCAAATAAGGTCCAGTAGTTTTCGAATAAAACTAAAATCTTTGAAGCGTCTCAAAAAAACAAGCAAAACAAAAATCCGATCCCATACATTTTCATAATTTATTTTATTGAACGATTGCAGCTCGTCATCGCCTTCGAGTAAATTACCCGCCAAAACAGCAGGGCAAAGACTTCGATTATTAATGCTCTTTGATTAAGCGGAAATAGCACATACAATCAGAAACTGAACTGTTGGGCGCATAAATAGCACAGAATTGGAGCCCAGAAAAGCGCGAATGTGGTTAGAAAAAATGGACTCATATTATAAGACATGCGTTGTTGTCATATAGAATCTGAAAAAAGTATCTTTCAAAACTGAAGCTGCACTGCTTGACTTCAAACTAAAAAAACATCTTACATTTTTTCTAATTTAACTTATTGCTTGTAAAACACGGACACAGATAGCTTGATTAATACAGACCCGGCTTTAAAACTATCATATTCGCTATTAGCCCCAATTCTCAGGTTGCAAATGGGCCGATTACCTGGAGCGGATCTATCGGTTAAGAGGACTTCTAAGGCTTTGCATTAAAACAGCGATGAAGAGGAGCTTCGGATCACAAAACATAAAACGTGAGATGATCTTAAGTTGAATAAGAATACCTAAACAGCCAAAAATGTGCACCTGCTAAAAGCTCCGGCTCTTTTCCAGTTTCCCTCCCTCCCCTTCGTGAAATTACGAAACGAAATTGTTTGAAAAATATTCATAAGGCAATTTGTATGTAGAAAAATGTAGTTAACTCGCTCCCATTCACACATTGTATTGCTGTTCAGATTATTGAAGATCATTTTAACTACCTTTCTTAACTCGAATTTCAGAAACAAATCAAAGGGGAGGGAAAAACTGGAAGGAGCCGAAGCTCCAACTAAATGGAGACCTAAAAGACAACACTCATCATAAGAAAAAGAGGCGGCTTCATAATTTAGACATGTTCGAATAGCTGATTAGTTCTCGTAGAACAAAACTAATAAAATCAACACACATTCACAGATCAGATGAGTAGAACTTATGCAAGCACCAATAGTTGATTTAACTCAAAGGGTGCATAATATTTTGCCAAGGGTGCATCATCTATTACAAAATTCGATGGAAACTTGAAAGGCTTCTAGTTCATTTTCTCCCACGACTTCAAAGCTCAGAACACATCGTGCGATTAGCTTTCATGTTCATCTCCATAAATATGTCAAGCTCGATTAGATCACATATCTACTCGGACAAATTGGGAAAATTCATCAGAAAACAGAAAACTGAGGTGCCTTTATGAAACGCAACTTCAAATCATTATTCTCGAAATTCATGGTCTACTTTCGCCAAGCGAACCCTGTCATTAACTTCAAATCTTCTGGTTAGGGCCAGTAATTCCTTCTTTTATATCTTCGGCGAGGTATTAGAACGTACATTGCACTCGGTGGTTTCTTGTCCATAATTCTCTTGAATGTCACTTAAGCGAACCACTCCAATACGCTGTCATGAACAGTCAGCCGAGTCTTCAGGTCAATTTGATCTTCATACCTGAAACTACTCAGTTCAGTTGCTTGATCTGAATCGCCTTTCAAAGAAAAGTGAGGTCGCGTCATCAGGTGCGAGAGTGTGGGCTCATTTCTGTAGATCATGTCCAGTCTATGGTCCATCATGCCCATGCCAATTAAAGCCACTGCCGCAGCGCCCTACAGAATATATTTTTTAAAGACTTCTGCGAATGAATGTTCTTCATGTAATATTCCTTTAAAAGAACAATGCCAAAAAAACCTAAGAAAATTACCATTTAATGCCATCAGCTAGTTTTTAATACCCCTTTTCAAACTCAAAGGTGACTCAAAGGTGAAGCTGTGAGTTTGAATATCTATTATGCAAACAAGAAGTTCCAAACACACAGGCAAAGTTTCAACACTAGCCATAGGACGCAAGCATAAACTGGAAGGTGACGCATAAAAAAGAGGTGTTTATATTGACTCAGAGTCGCATATATTTTTCTTCCAAAGTCATACTGATTTCGCTTTTTCAATTCAACGTTTGTGAGCAATGCGGTATAATTTCAGAAGTAAACATTAAGTGCCTAGGCACCAGCGGATTTAGGGGGGAGGGCGGACGCCCCATCTCAAGGATTCGACTCCCTGCCGACCCAAAGGGTCCCCTTTTGTACTATTTTAAGATATCAATTTTTGACTGACTGACCCTAAAATTTTTCTAAAGGCGGGGGAGCGCGCACCGAAAAAGCGCAATTTTTGGGTCAAAATTTTCCAAAAAATGCCTAAAAACTCCTTTTTTGGCCTGTTTTTTTTTATTTAAGTGCTTTGGGAGAGCTCAGAAAATCAATTTTTTTGACCTAAAAAAGGTCGACTAAATGTTCGATATTTTTTTGAAAATCTGCCCCCCCCCCCTAGAGAAAATCGTAGATCCGCCCCTGCGCCTAAGTGTCAAATGATGAAGTCTAGCTGTAGTAATATAGTTAGAATTCTTCAAAAAGGTGTTCAGAAATACGGATGTTGCAGCTCATCCAGCTGGAACCAACTCAGATCTCAAAAAAAGACAATACTGAAACTGATCTTTTGCAGAAAAACGAATAAATGCCAACTTATCACACAAACGAGCTGCTTAAATCTGTATGTCTAGCTTGCGATGAAATGCTGTTAATTTATTTTAATTTAAAAAATAGAAATTTAATTTTTCTTCCTTTTTCCGATCATTGAAAATCGGGAGGACGTCTTCAAGTGGGTTTTAGTTTTTTCAAGCAACCTCAAGTTCACAAGTAACCATCGAATTGATTCGAGTGACATATCATATTAAAGCCACTTCAAACGAGATTCAAACTACATGAGAAATTTTTTTAAAGGTTTCCTAACAGTCTAGAGAAAAACCGGTTTGTAATTTTGGAGATTTTGTCTAATTTCGTAAGAGTTCAGCAAGCGAGTAGCTCTTACAGAAAGCTTATGATAGTATAATTCAAATAAACCAAGTTGAGTCGTGAAAGCTTACTTTTATTCCAGTAAAAATAGTTTTCAATTTTAATTTGAGCGCCTTCAGTAAATTTTAAAAAATAAGTTTTTAGCGAAAAACTTTTTGAGATCTTTGTGTATATTTTGTATTCATTTTTGAGGAAAACTGTTGTCGAATAAACCCAATTTTTAATGAAATCAAATATAACTAAGTCATAGGCTTTTGTTCAGATCCTCTCATCAGACAGCGAACTAAAAACAGAGACGTTTTCCAAAAGATATACGATTGAGGTCGTAACCTTCTGTGCTGCAAACCGGCTATCTTCTGTTTTTCTAGGCAATAGCAGAGCCGAGCAGTATTACGAAGAACAAGCAGAAATTCATAACTAACCCATCAAACTACCTATAACAACCGCATGAAAAATCCAAAGGAGTCTTTTTATCAGCGATAACGCTTTAATATAACATACTTGCTCGGCGTGTTTCTTATTCCGTTCACAATATGTCGACAAAAAGGCCCTTCTTTCGCTCAAGTAACAAACACATTTCCAACGAGAGTCTTGAAAAGGAGTCGTCTCAAATCGCGGTTTCACTTCACAATTCTTAAACAATGGTTTGTTGAAAAACTCAGATAAAAGTGTTTTCGGAGGAACTGTTATAACCTTCCTGTACTTATTATACTCAAATGGGTACGAGAACATTATGACGTTTCGATCATCTTCAATTCCATTGGGTTCTAACTTTGGCTTTTTCTGAAGAGGTGACTCCATTGTTAGTGAAATCTTCAGGAGTTCAGATCTGTAAAACTCTTCAAGGTCAAACTGAGCGCACACTTCAGACATTAAAGTCGTGTTTCGAACTTTGTCGACAATCGGGTGATCTCCTATTGAGTTTTGAACAGCGTATTTGAAATACTGCACTGGGAAATCAAACGTGACGCAATATTTTAACAACTTCTTTGCCACTTGTGTTTTCTCATCAACAGTAGATACAGAAAAATGTTCGGATTGTAAGTTTTTCAGTTTCCGTATTATCTTGAACACTGAGCAGTTCCACATTGCATTTCTAGCAACCATTAAAGAGTCGCACCCAGTTTCATTTTTCACTTTCTCAAGTGTTAAAAACTCGCCTAAGCTCTCTCTAGTTCCGGCTAACCCATTTGCAATAACAGGTATCTTAACTTCAGCTGCGTATAACTTAATCAAATCTAAATGAACCTGATCTTTCGGTCTTTCCGACTGAAATCTTCCGTGAACAGTCACAGCATTCACGCCGCAGCTTTCGATCATCCTCATAAACTGCAAGCCATCTTCCAAATTAGGAATCAATCTGATTTTACACGTTATTTTCACGCTGCAGTTCTTAACAAGAGTTGTCAAAATTTGTTCAACTATTTGAGGTTTTTTCAACAGAGCAGCACCCATGCCTCCTGTCGTTGAAAAAGACTTCGGACAACCCATATTTATGTCAACTCCGAAGCAATAATTTTCCACAATCTTCGCCGCTTTAAGCGCGTTTTCCGAACTAGCAGTTCCGATTTGCACAAGCAATTTGTCCTTTTCCCTGTCGTGGATTCTAAGCACCAGCGTGTGATCTGGTTCCCGAAAATCAAAGCAGCTCAGCGCCTCGTTTCGCGTCACTGAGCAACTCATCAGACGTCGATCGATAATCTCCTCAGTGAAAACAAAGTCGGCGCCGTAGTCTAGAGCCAGTAGCCTCATAGGGAGTTTAGAAATACGCACCATTGGCGCTAGAATTACGCAGTTGCCAAAACAGTTGTCTTTAGTTGAAGCGTCACTGCCACTCATTATGCATGCACTTCACTAAAAGGTTCAATCGTCAGTTTTGTGGTGACTGCTTAATCACAGGTAACATGGATGTACCAAAGCTATATACAAATATAGTCAACCAAAACTTCATTTTCATTTCTTATCGAACTAACTCGAAATCTTATAACAATTTCTAAAACTTGAAATCAGCCGCTAATTTTTGCTCCATTGATTTCGGAGAGTAACTAACCAATTTGTAAATGAAACTTTTTGAAAATGGCAAGCTTCAAGAAAAATCATCAAAAATAATTCAGCGTACAAGACAAGCGAATCTGTTCTTTCTTTTAACAATAAATGGAGGCTCTTTTCGCTCAAAAAAGGGGTATAGGTTATATGGATCTGCTAAAATACGTTTTGATTAAGAATGAAAAATATGACAATGCCCTGACGCCATCTGAAGCGGAGCAAGCACAGTCTTTCGAAAGACAGTGGGTTGCCCTACTATTCAAGTCCTCGTATGGAAATCTAGCATGGGAATGTGCATATGAACTTTTGCATCACTTAGACATTGTTACATTTCCCAAAATGTGTGCAAAGTAACACCTGAAGACTCTACTTTGCCCTTTTTGATAGCGTTTTTTAAGGTGGGTTTTTACAGCTGGCAATAACCCGGTGAAGAACAATTGGTCAAAACTGCTTGAAATTTTTCATCAAAATCTCAAATAAAATGTTGTACTCATACGTACTCATACGATAAAATCAGAACTCATACGTATAAATAAACAAAAGCGACAAGCTAGTTGATGCAATGAAAACCTTATTGGAGGCAACTTGTACCGCTTAGTTCATGAAAATAACGCTCAAAAAGGATTATCAGAAGAAAGAAAAACATTTAAAAAAACTCACATTAATTTGATCGAGTGAAATATTTCATTGATACGTTGGAATTAAGTAAATTTCTTCATTTGATTTTGTTTTCTGAAAATACGCTTCGAGCACAATTCTCAAGTACCCAAGTCCAATTCGTTCAATTCGACTATCGTGTAACGCACCTCCGGTACTTCGACTTTTTAAAATCTAAAAAACCGCATATATTGGAAATAAGAGCTGCATCCTTTGAGTGTACTCTGACAGCACCCAATTACAGGGTTCGTAATTACAAATTTTTCTATTCAAGTTTTTTTAATATAAATTTTGAAAAACCCATAAAACTTTGTGAAGTTTTATTTGAGTTCTTTGAAAAATTTAAAATGAACTAAGAAATGTCACAACTCGGAAACTAAAAGCAATTGAGCAGTCGCAATTGGACGCAAGATTCTTAAATCCTGAGAGTACTCTTACAGTACCCAACTACAACGTTGAGAAATTCAAATTTCAAACTTAAGTTTTCTAAAAAAAATAAATATATTTTTTGAAAACCAGATAAAACGTCAGATGTCGAGAACTAACAATATTTGAGCAGTCTTTTTTGAAGACAATATTTGCAATCCTTGACAGTACTCTAAAAGCACACAACTATAGGGTTAGTAATTTCAAATTAGTGAAAATCACAAGAATCGTCGTATCACATAAACTAAAAGATTACTCTGACAGTCCCCATATACTTTTAAGGAATTTCAAATTATGAAAAAAAGTTTTAATTTAAGTTTTAGGAAAATTTTGAAAAAATCAAAAAAAAAACATCATATCTGGAAACCTAACAAGATTGAGCACTCAGATTTGAAGGCAAGAATCGCAGCCCCTGAAAAACTGAGAAAACTCTGACAGCCCCCACTACAGAGTTGCAACCTTCAATGTTCTAAGAAAAAAAATGCAACTAAGTTAGCTGAAAATATTATTAAAATCACAAAAAAAGATCATATCCGGGAAACTACAAGGTTTCGAGCGGTCATTTTGGGGCAAAACTTACAACTCCTGAAAATACTCTGAAAGAGCCTCAACCTAGAGTTGGGAACTTCAAATTTTGTGATTATTTTTAAACGTTATCTGAAAAATTTGAAAAAATCTTAAAAAACGTCACATCTCGAAAAATACGAGGATTTGGGCAGTCATATTCAGAGGCAAGATTCGCAACCCCTGAGAATACACTCACACTTTCCAAAAACAGAATTAATTCTGAAGTTCTGGAAATTTTCAAAATCTAAGTACTTTTGAGTAAGGAGGTTCGAGGGTAAGATTCGCAACCCCTGAGAGTAAGCTGCCTAAGCGTACTTGATACCTCCAGGCCAAGTGTGCCTTCCTTATAACATAAAAAAATGAACGGAACTTGAAAAAAAAACAAGTCAAACCGAGAAAAAGGAAATTTGAGCCTGAACGAACTCTAGTCATGACTAGGAGGACTTTATTAGTAAACCACACTTGACCCCTAATAGCTTCTTTGAGGTAGTCAAAAATTGGGCACGAGGCAAACTAATCCATAGGTCCTACCAACCCCAATACGGTAATGGGTACAAAAAAATTCGCAGGCAAGTTTGCTAATTTTTAGCCCAGAACTCTTCGATTCTCTCAAAAACGTAAGCAAATATCATCTAATCCATTTAATTTCTCTTCTCATTTAATTTTAGCGAGAAAAAAAACTGCAAAAAAACTAAAATATACCAAAGTTGGCCTTGAAAAAAAAAACCGCCACCAAACATCTGTAAAAAGTCAATTAATGCAAGTCAACAAAACAAAAATGCAGCCTTTTTTGAAAAAACTTGAAAGTTCTATTTTTCGAGAAAAAAACAAATGACCCTAAAGCTTTTCGAGAACAATTTATAATTGACATTTTTTAAATGAAATTATACCAATTTGATAAAATGGGATCATTAGGTGAAATTTTAATTTCGCTGGCAAATCAGATATCTAAACTCCATTTTTGAAATTAGAATTCAACACATCAGCGAAGCTCCACACCACTACCAATACAAAACCAAGAAGCCGCTAGATCGGAAAAAAATAAATAAAAAATAGGCCAAGTTGGTCTTGAACAAAAATTATAGCCAACAGACATTTGGAGAAAGTCAATGAATGCAAGCGAACAAAAAAAGAAATGCTGCCTTTTTGAAAAAAATCGGATGTTTTATTTTTCGAGAAAAAAAAACAGATGAGCTCTATGGGAATAATATATCCTTGAGATTTTCTTTAAAAAATTATACCACTTTGAGAAAGCGGAAACATGAAGTGAAACTGTAATTTCGCTGGCAAATCTGATATTTGAATTCCATTTTTGAAATTACAATTAAACATATAAGCGAATCTGCGCACTACTTGCAAAACAAAACCAGAAAGCCGCTAAGTCAGAAAAAAACGTCATGGTCGACGACTAGATCTATCAAAACGAAACAGGCTAATTTTGAAGCAAAAACATACCAGGACAAGAGAATGTGAATTCGAATCTGAAGAAAATTAATCGATCGGTAATAAAGCCAAAAACATTTTAGAAAAAAAACCGGTAACTCGAAAGAAAATAAACAAGTCTTAAGACTTAAAAAATGAGGCAATTAGGCCGATATAATTTGGGCTCGAAACCTATCGATGAGAAAAAAGGCAAAAACAAGTTGCCATGGAAAACTTGAGCTATTATATCTATAAGATAATTTAGTCCAGTGTTCAATCGAGTGAGCATAAAAGAGATGAGCATAAAAAGGATGTTTGACTTGAAATGACTCAAACTTAGATCACTAGGCCGATAAAATATAAGCCGAAATCGATTGGGCAGATTAAAATTTTTCAGCGAAATAAAAAACAAAAAGAAAAAAATATGAAGTCAAGAAATTACAAACAGCAGAATTAAAACAAAACACTTAAAACAACTACAAAGTGAAACAATGTGACTTTTACAGTACAAGTTGACTTTTAAACTTTTGCTATTTAATAATGAAGTTTACCTTCCTTTTAACAAATAAATGAACAGAACTTCAAAAAAAGAACAAAAATCCCGAAAAGTAAATTTGAGCCTGAGCAAAATCTAGGCACGACAAAGAGGGCTTTAAAATTATACCAAACTTGACCCCTAATAGCTTCTTTGAGGTAGTAAAAATTGGGCAAGAAGCCAGCTAATCCATCGTTTTTTCCAACCCCAATACGGTAATTGGTACAAAAAATTCGCAGGCGAAATTGCTTATTTTTAGCCCAGAACTCTTCGATTCTCTCAAAAACGTAAAAAAAATATCATCTAATCCATTTAATTTCTCTTCTCTAACAATTAGAACCAAACAGCACATGGGCAAGATGCAGTTCGCATTTCAGCGAAAAAAAACAGCAAAAAAACCAAAATATACCAAAGTTGGCCTTAAAAAAACCGCCAACAAACATCTGGGAAAAGTCAATTAATGCAAGTCAACATGAAAGTCAACAGCAAAAAAAACCAAAATATACCAAAGTTGGCCTTAAAAAAACCGCCAACAAACATCTGGGAAAAGTCAATTAATGCAAGTCAACATGCAAGTCAACAAAAATGCTACCTTTTTTGAAAAAATTTGAAAGTTCTATTTTTCGAAAAAAAATGACCTTAAAGCTTTTCGAGAACAATTTATAATTGACATTTTTGACACATGAAATTATACCAATTTGATAAAATGGGATCATTAGGTGAAATTTTACTTTCGCTGGCAAATCAGATATCTAAACTCCATTTTTAGTCGAGAACGGAAATGTCGAGAAATAGATTTAGCAAAACGAAACAGGCTAGTTTTGAAACTAAAACATGCCAGGTCAATAAAACGAGAAATTCGAATGGAAACAAAAATAATCAAGCGGTAACAAAGCCGAAAATATCTTAGTAAAAACCCTGCAAGTCGAGAAAAAAAACAAGTCTCAAGACTTAAAAAAAATGAGGCAATTAAGCCGATATAATTTGTTCTTGAAATCTATCGATGAGAAAAAAAGCCGAAAAAAAGTTGCCATGGAAAACTTTAGCTATTATATCAAAAGATGTTTTAGGAATTTGTTCTATCCAGAGAGCATAAATAAGATGAGCATAAAAAAGATATGACTCAAAATTAGATCACCAGGCCCATAAAATATAAACCGAAATCGATTGGGCAGAATAAAGTTTTTCAGCGAAAAAAAAAACAAAAAGAAAAATATATGAGGTCAAGAAAATACAAACAGCATAATTAATAGAAAACACTTGATGCAAATACAATGTGAAAAGCGTACAGCAAAAAAAAACTAGAGAAGATGACAACTTCCTGTTTGAAGAACAATTCCCGTTTGAAGAAAAAGCAGGTCCTGTCAGTTTCTAACCCGGGACCATTACCGTCCCAGGCGTACTCGATACCTCCAGGCCAAGTGTGCCGCAGACGCAACGAAATTTGAATTCATTGTGAACTCAACCCAATTTTACTATTTCTGTTTTTGACCATTCCGTGAGCAGAAATATTTTCTTGAAAAAAGTCTAGTACCCGATTGCAATATCCCTGATTATCGCAAGGATAATTTCAACGTTTTTTGTGACCTTTGCACTTTTGCTTTGTAATAATGGAGTTTGCCTTCCTTTAAACAAAAAATGAACGGTACTTAAGAAATCAGGAGTCAAACCCCGAAAAAATAGATTTGAGCCTGGACAAATTTTAATACTTTTCAAAAAAAACGAAAAAAAAAAATCCTCGCGACCTCCATAAAAATCTGAAATCGACTCTTAACAAGCCTTGAATAAGAAACTCTCGGAGAGTAAGGGGTTCCTATTAATCAATCAGGTGTCAGCATTTTGAATACTGACACAATGAATAACTTTGCCGTTAATTTCGTTGATATTGTTGACTTCGTTCATATTATTGACTTCGTTAATTCAGAGTGCATAGGTTTATTTTTTGACGTATTTTTCTTCTGATAATGCCAGGAGCAAAAATAATAATAAACTTTTAGAAATTAAATTACATTAGCTGTGTTCCACAAGCATTGATCTAATTCGATATCTGACGATAAACAGGGAATAGGAAATTGATTGGGGGTCTGATTTCATTCGTTGAGCACACACTAAATGACAACAAATACTCGTTATTACTTAAGAGACGACTGCACAATAAACTTCTAATGTCTAGGGGCGGATCTAGAATTTTCTCTTGGAGGTGTTTGGGTATATTTTCAAGAGGTTTCAAGCAAAATTTCAAAAAATCTGAGCAAATTTTTTTTCGAAAAATCAAAAAACAAAATGACAGTCTGGTCATTCTTGATTTAACTAAACTTTCCCAAACCCCCCTACCACCACCCAAACCGCCCCTTTTCATGTTCAAATACTGCAAAACACTGCAGTTGAGCTGCAATTCATAGTCAATGAAGAAGGGGCGAAAGTGAAGATAACGTTGTCTAAACTGATGATCTATTGCAGCTGTTTAGCAGATGATAAGCACCATATTACGCGTCATTTTAACCACACAACTTTCTTCTGAAGTTCTGACGGTTGCACATTATGGACTAAAGATCCCCGATAGTTCCCAAACTTAAGTTCTAGAATTAAATACAATATTAAAATTCAATTACTTTGAGTGCGTAGTTCTTGTGGATACCAAAAATTGTGGAGCTAATATTGACATTATGTTCTATGATTATGTTGTTAAAATGACAAGTTAATTTTTTCTCTGTGAGTATGTACTGAGAAGTGTACTAGAGAAACTAACACAAGCAACATAGACTGATAAGCACATCTAGATGAAGAGAAAAGGCCGGGGTTGGGACTAGCTCGCAATTGACCGCAAGTGGACTGTACTCCACTGACATCAAAGTCTGATCCGATAATTTGGACTGGTTTGAACCCTGACAAAAATAGAACTAATGACCGTTTTTTCTTTCAAAGATGAATACCATTAAGTACATTGTCTGGTCAGAACTGTTTCAATCTCTATATGATCAATTAGAAACTTGGAAACTTTAAGGATACCCGAGTAATTAAAAATACTCTAAAATAGACTTAAATTGAACATTAGACGAAATTTCAGTCATAGCTGACCGGGCGAATTGATGGTACCGGGACAAAAATATGGGATCTACATAATGAATATCCACCACCCCATTTATAAGAAAGGATAGTATACTGAATTAACAACTTGAATATCATTATCAATAGCATATGAGGATTGAATATATACCATTGACCATTGGGCGAGAGTGTTTTAGTGGGGTGGTAAAAGAGTTATGACAAGTAGATCCAATTTATTTGAGACCAACATGGATAAAGTACCTCTTATTTGAATGCATTGTCCTGCAGGTTAACTGTACAATCGGAACACAGAAAAATTATTTATACTGGCAGGCACTCCACTTATTATTGCTCGACTGAGGGCGTCGTAAATTCGATCTAGGATACGGTCGACTTGAAAACTTTGGTTTGGATGGGGTGGCGAACAGATTTCGAATTGATATAAATAATATAAATTTATAATTTATTTTTTGACCCAAAGTAGCTAGGCAGGCATGAGAGAGCAAAATAGAAGTACAAAACTCAGGCGGAAATTGAAATATAAAAGATAAAGTCATTCTCTAATATTGCAAAGCAACTTCTAATTCAGGAATTGCATAAAAAACTTCGAAAACATAGTCTCTCATTTTTATCCACTAATTTCAGAACATATTTGAGACGATGTCACGAAAGTTTTTCGAACCAAGAAAATAAATTCCAGAAATACCGAATAAATAACAAATAAGACGAATTGTAAACGAACAGACTGAGCATTCTTTATGATAAGCCATCTAGCGAAGGCATTGTGTGATTATTCCAATTGTGCTATTCGAGCAGCATCATCCGAGACGAAAGGTTAAGAAGAGAGTTAGGACGAGAAGAGGAATTGTTAAATAATTTATTACACAATTATTCGGTGCTATTCTGATTATTAAGTTTTGTCTGTCTGCAACAACCAAGTCCCCTTGCCCACCCCCCATCAAATGTGAACAGAAGTCAAGTGACGGGGGGTGAAGAGGTGGGGATCGGCTGTTGGGGCGGCACGGGTGAATGGGATCCTGACGAGGGGTAGTCTAATATTGATTTAATGTAACTAGTCGGAACATAACCCTCCTCTATTATGTCGTCCAAGTTTCTTCTAACTTTCGTCCAGCCATCATTATTTTCATCCTCTGTCTCGATAACATCCAACACTTCGCCTTCGTGTATGGACAGTGCGGCGTCTGTGCTCTTCTCATAGCTGTAAATCACTTTGCACTTTTTGAGTAACTCGAGACCATTGTTGGCGCTGCGGTACATCTCCATGCCGACAGCTGGTTCTGGGATCTCTGAGTAGGTTCCGTCATCGTCGTCGTAGTAGTCGAAGTCCTCGGAGGAGTGGGAGATGTGGGACTGGTGGGATCCCACTTCCAGGTCAATACAGCCTGCCATGGTATTTGAACGAAGATTGTTTGGCGCTGTTCCGCCTCCTAAAACCCAACATACACGTTATGATACACAGAATGAAAGTGTTTGAATCCAAAGATATCAGCTACAGAGAAATCGGACATTTCTTATTTGCTTAAGAGTAACTACAACATAAAAACTGTCAAGTAGCCAAATAAAGCTTATCATTATTTGTCTAATTCACTATGAAAGTTAGCGCCCATATAACTACACTGCATGATTATACCGATTAAAACCAGAGAGATAAAACTTAGCAGTCTGCTGCTCGTCAAAACTTCTGGGAACGAGGCAGAGAATAAAACAGATTCACGTGACATGTTTGCAACAATTATTTCCACAGAGAAGCAGCACAGTCCAACATAAGAGAGCAAGATGAAGGAAAGATAGACGGTACCTGTTGCAATGGAATCAATCAATGTTAATAGACTGAAGGGTTGATTTGAGAGAGGAAATGCCTCAATGCAGTTCATATTAGTCATTATTCATCATCATCATGTTAATCGACTAAATGATATCCGTGTCGGGTATCGGACTCAGATCAATTAGGTCGAGGTGTCCTGAATAGTGCACAGAGAATCTTTAATCTCCAATACTTTGAACAAAGACCAAGCGAAGTGTAGCATCTTATGCGATACCAACGTATAGCGAAGAGAACGTAGAGACCAAAAATTTGAGTTGCAATTCGCTCGACGAGAATTCGTTTTTTCAAATCCTGTGACCTTTCGATACCTGCTACTGATATTTGCATGTAACGAGTAAATAATAATCAGTTGCATGTAACGAGGACAAATCTAACAGGTAAAACGGGCAAACATACACTTTATTAGAATTTGATTATTAATCGATTTTGATTGACTTTAAGAACTTTAAATCAAAATTTCAAATCAAGAGTGTAAGTTGAATGTGGAAAGAAGTGTGTTTACCATCGAGGACTACTGGCGTCTTCTAAATTTCGCAAACATAAGTCGAGTAAGTTAATTGTTGTCGTTTTTTCAAAGTTTGCATCCAAATATTATAAAGGATAACATTGTCTTTTGACCATCACGGGTTAAATACACTAAACATATGGGTAATATTATCCACAATATGCTTTCTACGAAGAGGCGAAGTACAGCTACGCATCGCCACTCCGATACAAACTATGTGCCAGATCCGAATTTATAAGCGCCAGAAACCAGAACTGTGCAAAAAGACAGCGAGAAAAAAATTCAAATTATTTAAAAAATAGGCACGATCTAGCCACTATCTAAACCTTATTATTTAAAAAATAATAATAGAAAAAAAATTCATGAATGCAGGAAAGGAAAAAAAACATGGTCTTGTAATCAGAAAGATACGAACTTTCAAAAATTTTATGAGAGCGCGCCTGAATGAAGGAAGCATGCAAAGGCTTAATAGAAACTTCCCAGACAAGTATCCCGTAAATTCTAGCTACTAGGAACGCAATTACTTCCACATAAACGGAGCACATTGAAAGAATTTTCAACACAGAGGCGAAGCGGAGCTTCGTACCACTTGCGATACAACACAATCATAGTCGAAAAAATGGAAAAAGGTGAAAACAACTATGTGAACCTTAATGAAGGACACCTAGGTCCTAGCTTAAAGATGGAGGTATGTGTTTGATATTTTTGAATTTGTTAAACTGATGCGTGACGAATAAATGCTCAAATAGCACCCTTGCTGCTCGTTTTTTTTTCGATCTGGAGAAAGTGTTTGATACACTTGATGTCTCCAAGACATGAAATTTTGATACTGCTGAAAAATTAAAAGTCACTTCGCTTTTATCTAAGGATAGAGAGCTCACTTTATTGGAACGACAATTCCTTCGACTTTTTTTGGTTTTGTTACGTATCATTTTAGGCCCAGATAATTTGAAATACTTTCGGTTATCATCAGTCAGAAGCCATATCCCAGTTAGAAATACAACTTGTGATTATGCTATATGCAACTAGCATGGCACATTCCATCATGTAGCTTATTCCCATTAGCATTTTCTGAAACCATTTAATAAGTTTATCACAACGGATAGGCTCGGGCGGATAGATACTCGGCTGAATATTCGGTCCTGAGCTCGTCGTAGTTAAACTTTTTACTGGTTTTGTTTGATCATTTTGAGCTACGGTTAGACGTGTTGCCTAAAACTTTCAAGGTTGTAGAAAAAAAGGTTAAGATCGTGACACTGGTTACCCGAATTCCGAAGAATGACACAATACGACGATGCTGACTCGCATTCGGTTTTGTTATCTTTTTAAAACCTAAATCTATGATTGGTAACAAAATTTTGTCAACATCGACAATTAGACGAAAAAACTTTGAAATGATGATTTTCGTTTAAGGTAAGCTTAACTGAAAAATCATTGGAACTAGCGTGTAACGCACCTCTGGTTCTCATAAAAAACCGCACATATTTGAAATAAGATCTGCATTCTTTGAGAGTACTCTGACAGCACCCAATTACAAGGTTCGTAATTACAAACTTTGCAAAAATTTGTATTTAAGTTTTTTTTATATAAAACTTGGAGAACCATAAAATTTTGAGAAGTTTTATATATGTTCTTCAAAAAATTTAAAATGAACAAAGAAACGTCACATATGCGAAACTGAAAGCAATTGAGCAGTCGCAATTGGACGCAAGATTAGCAACTTTTGAGAGTACTCTTATAGTACCCATCTGCAACGTTGGGAAATTCAAATCTTGAGAAACTTCATCTTAAGTTTTCTAAAAAAAGCATTTATTGAGAACCAGAAAAAATTTCACATTTCGAAAACTACCAAGATTTCAGCAGTCTTACTGATGGCAATATTCGCAATCTTTGGAAGTACTCTGACAACACACAACTACAGGGTTGGGAATTTCACTTTGGTGAAGTATTTTGTCATGAGTTTTCTGAAAATTTCCAAAAAAAATCACAAAAATCGTCTTATCTCTTAAAGTAAAAAAACTTGGGCATTGTAAACTGGAGGCCGAATTTGCAACCACTGAGATTACTCTGACTGCCCCCAACTACAGATAAGGAATTTCAAACTTCGAAAAAAAAATTAATTTAAATAAAATTTTTTGAAGCACAGAAAATGTCATATCTGGAAAACTGCAAGGTTTTGAGCAGTCATAGTTGGAGGCACAAATTGCATCCTGAGAGTACCCTGACAGATTCTAATAACAGGACTGAGATCTTCAACTTTTGGAAATTTTTTAACATTTAAGTTTTTTTTTTGAAAATTTCGGAGAAAATCATAAGAAACGTGCTATCTCAAAAACTACAAGGATTTGAGCAGTCATATTTGGAGGGAAAATTCGACTTCCTGAGAGTAACTTGACAGAGCCTCACCACAGAGATGCAAATATCCAATTTTGTGAAATTTTTTTTCATCTAAGTTTTCTAAAATTTTTTTTTTAAATCTTAAAAAAACGTCATATCTCGAAAAATACAAGGATTTGAGCAGTCATATTTGGAGGTAAAAATCGACTTCCTGAGAGTAACTTGACAGAGCCTCACCACAGAGATGCAAATATCCAATTTTGTTAATTTTTTTTTTCATCTGAGTTTTCTGAAATTTTTTTTTTTAAATCTTAAAAAAAAACGTCATATCTCAAAAACTACAAGGATTTGAGCAGCCATAATCAGAGGCAAAACTCGCAACCCCTGAGAGTACCTTCACAATATCCAACAACAGGAATGAGATCTTGAACATTTTGGATTTTTTTTTTGAAAAAATCATTAAAAAAATGTCATATCTCGAAAACTACAAGAATTTGAGAAGTGAGATTTGGAGGCAAGAATCGCAACCCCTGAGAGAATTCTGACAGCACCCAATTACAGGGTGAGAATTTCAAAAATTGAGAAATTTTTATATATTAAAATTTCTAGAAATTTTCTAGAAAAACCTTAAACATAGCAATATACGATATATCTTAAACGTGAAAAAATTCTTTTGTTAAACATGCAAAAATAATACGTTGAAAAAGCCTAAGCATGGCGAAATAGTGAAGCTCGCATTTAAATATATAATGGATAGACGAAAGTTTAAAAATTAGGAGACGTGTAGACAGACATAATCATATTAATTTAAAAAGCAGGTATACAGACAGACGGACAGAAAAAATTACTGAAAATTAATAACCTTGCGGAAAACTAATTAAAAATTTTCTTAAGCATTGCAATATATGATACACCTTAAACATGAAAAAACTCTTTCGTTAAACATGCAAAACTATTATGCTTAAACATGGGAGATAGCTGTCACTCGCATTTGAATATAGTATAGATAGATAGATAGAGATGGATATAGATATAGATAGATAGATATGCGACCAAGTTTCAGCTATTACGTTTTTTTTTTCATAATTGTAGTTTTGCAAAGAAACGCCTCAACTAAGGTGCTCAATTCTAATTCTGCTCTAATTTGCTAGGCCCTGTACATACCTGTGTAGCAGTTGCTAGGGTCGCCATACTCTCCTCCCCCTTGATAGTCCCCTTTCGATATCCTGTTCTGGGCAGCCGAACTATTAGCTCTCAAGGGCCTCACAACTCCAGTAGAGATTGCAGTCAGGAACTCTGTATACCTAAAAACAGCAAAAACAACATGTATAATTATAGGCCGAAATCATTTGGGCAGAATAAAGTTTTAAATCGAAAAAAAAACATACGATGCCAAGGTTAAAAAAAATTACAAAGAAACAGCAGAGGTAAATCAGAGCACTAAAAGCAACTGTATTGTAAAAAATTTTGAAACATTCAAATAAATGATTTAAGTTGGATGGTAAAAACAAAGCGGGAACTAAGCCGACAAAAAGAAAACCGAAAGCGACAAGTCGAAAAATCAAAAAAAAAATGAACTGCGAAATTATTAAATTGAAAAAAATTGAACTGCGAAATAACACTAATAAGGAAGCACAGTGCGAGTAATAGACCAATGAGCGCAAATATACGTGTACTGCATGCATGTTGTGTACTGCAACTGCATGCTGAAATCTGTGGACAAAGTTGTTTATGGGAAAAAAGTCTAGTTCCCGGTTGCAATACCCTTGATATCGCAAGGCTTATAACTTGGATTGGATGGACATTAGGCACATTGAGTACCCACTGAGAGTCTGCACGGTTTTAATCATATATAATCAATATCATTGAGCAGATACAACATTGAGAACTCTCAACAAACGTAACCAGCTGGTTCGTAAACAAAAAACAGAAGGGTCCTCTTTTATAAATATGTTAAAATGTGACAATACAGAATACCTGATTGAAAATTCATAGTTTCTGGAATCATTTAAAAAGGCTTGCAGTATCTTAATTAGGATAGATGCCAAAAAATATCAATATAAAAATTGGATGAAAGAACGCGTACCTTTTCAACTCCATCCTTCTCACGTCCAGCTCCTGGCCGACCTTGGCTATTTTGGGTTCCAGACTCTTTGGATCACCATATGCCGTGTTATTCGTGTAGGATATCTTGAGCTTCAACATTCCCTCACGTTCTCGCTCTAACTTTTCTATTTCTCGTTCCAGTTCAACTATTTTTGCTTCTGTTTTCACTCGCTGCTGCGGCGGAACTTCGTTTACATATGGTATATCCGGAAAGTCTTGAGCCAGATTGGATTGTTCGTTCGAGTTGAATGTTTTGGACTTTTTGGACATGAAAGACAGGAAGCGTCCTCGTTTTTTCTTCTCTTTATCTTTGCCTTGGTTCTGAGAGGGAGCTAATGTCACACTTTTGGGGTCGGCTGAGGCGGCGGTGGCGGAGGAGGAGTAGGTGCAGGAGGAGTTCGAGGAATTGGTAGCGTCTCCTGCATCCTCGCCTGCAGCAGCAGCTGTGGTCGGGTGGCTCTGGGTGGAAGTGGGACTGATGTTGTTGTTTCCTTCCAGTGAGGACAGAGTAGAGGATGCAGTTTGAGATCTAGCTGATCTGGGTGGCGGGGCTTGTGGTCTATGAGAGGACGCAGGTGAAATATTGCTCGGGGCTTCGTGTATTGCTTAAAGAAAAAGACTGTTGAGAGGAACAATTCATTTAAATTAAGTCTTAATTGTGATTTCGTCTAAAATTAGTCCAAAAAGACGTGACTTTTCAGGGAGCCCGAAATTTGGTAGCCTAAATGGGTGACAAGTTTTAGTCAGATTCAATTCTTGTTTACATACTTCATTTCTGATGAAAAATGTAGCACTGGACGAAGCAACCAGTCAAAACAATTGCTTGCGGTTGAACACCACATTCGCTTATCTCCATACAACCTCAGCTATAGGTAAATTTCAAAAACATCTGCGCACGCCACAACAAAACATCAATGATTCAACTGTTTGACACTATTTCATATGAACTCATATTATTCTGATTGTTCATGGCTAAATTGCAGAATTTTGTAGACTAGTGGACATATTCAATTGCAAATTTAGCTTTAGTCTTTATAAAAAGAATGTTTTCAACGACCATTTTGAAACAAAAACATGTAAATAATAAGAGAACAACAATATGAAATTGCGTGTATCTTCTGTCCTCAAGTGTATAATCTATTGAGAATGGTGATGAAATTTAGCTGGTGTATGTAGGTGGGTGGAGCTACCGTTGGGGTTTGAGTAGTCGACGAATAGCTTGTCGCCTGGTGGGAACTCGATGCTCTCGTGTCGCATCACCACCAGCTGCAGATCCTCCTCCACCTTCACCTCATCCGCCGCACACCTGTGCACTCCCACCAGACACTTCTCAATCAGGGGCTACAACACAACACACAACACTCATTACACATTACACAGCACTGCTCATCTTCACATGGGAAACGAATGAACACTTTGGAACCTGATCTAAACTATATTTTATGATTGGATAAATTAGATATTTTACCACTGTAAAGTATTTAATATTAACCAATCATGATCCATCTAACTAACAACCCACTTATTTGTAAGTGCTGAAATTACTTGTAATTTCAGCACCAGAGAGATTTGAATTTAACTTAGAAATTAGTTGTCTCTCCGAGAGAACTTCAGCAGCCGCAACAAACCAGTATACCCTAGATCTATTGAGCCTAGCAGAGACTAGTTAAACACCCTGAGACTAGTAAGTATAAGAGTAAGATTAGGATCGGTATTAGACTAAGAAGTTGCACGAATCTATCCGGCCGAAAATAAGATAGCGTGACGAGCAGACGGTGTACCCTATCCGAAATTACTCTATGAGTTAACCACATCGGTCCTAACTCATCTGGTGCGACCATAAGTCTCGAATAGACCTTAATAGATTAGATTCAACCAAAAAAAAATAGATTAGAATTTAGACAAAACATTTTTAAAATGTTATACGACGATAATTTAATCGAAATGTCTCTACGACTCAATAGATCAGAGCCGATATTCCGAACGATAGCAGAACTACCCGGAATCGCAAGAAGACCTCGAACAAGAGACGACATACGACAAAGTAGAAACTTACCATATAGTTATATGATTGTACGGCAAAAGCCAACACAAACTTTTATATTTAGAATCCTATTAGCAATGAATTTAGATTTTCATTTGCAAACATAAAATTTTGAAGTCAAAACTTCATGATCATTACAGGCGCTAAACAAAATTATTAATATACAATAACGACTGATAAAAAGATCTCAGATCGTTTTCTTAAATTCTGCAGTCTTATATAAAAACATGTTTGGAAAATATTTATTGAGAATAAAAACAAAAATTAGTAGCATGACAATAAATTGTTAGTAATCATAAAATCATCTGTTGTCCCAGCTTCATCACCTAAACATAACAGCAATCATAAGCTCACTAATATCATTAAAAAACTAAATCTTTTTCTTAAATAAATTTAAACCATTTTTAACTTAAATTCACTTAATTTTAAAATCAGATCATCAAGGCTTATCCTTGGATCTTAATTAATTTTCTATTTCACTAAATTTAAAACTTGATCATCAAGGCCAATCCTTGGATCAAAAAGAACAATTTTGTTCTCCTCCACCCACTTAGCAAGTGTCTAACGACCTCAAACGTCGATTCACTATCCAACCCTTCCAAAAAACCCAAGACTAATAGAAATTTATCAACAAAACTAACCATTCAAATTAGGATAAACAGTGAAGAACTTCGGTTATTCATCCTTCACTTGAACCCTCCTTTTACCAGACCCAGGATAAATCTTAGACTTAGTAAGTTTAAAATAGTATCTAACGAACTACTCGCGTTCTAATTATACCTGAACCTTGTGGATCGATTTACTATTCTCCAACCCTTGAACACAATCACTACCATTAAGTAAGATTAAGTAAGTTAACACCTTAGCTTATACTAGCCACAAGAAAGTAAAAAATCATTCTTCGGAATCGATATACTTTTCTCTCCAACCCTGAACAAAAAGACCCAGGTTAGGCTAACCAAAAAATCGTAAGGACTAACAGTTTAAGAAAAGTAGACATCCTCTAACAACTTTTTGCATCCCTCATCCTAAACCTTATGTCATTCAAAAATCTAGGAAATAAACAAACAATCGTTTTACACAATTGCGAAATAGATAACAAAAAATACGATCTTGTAATCACACCTCATACACAAACAGTTGGATATATTAGAACAAAACGACTAACAATTAAAAGAAAAATAATAAACAAAGACAAATCACACGAAAAAGATTTTCAAAAAATAGAAACGCATTTTCAGAATCAGAAGCCAGCAATTTAGATGAACTCTATAAATTCAAAGAATCGATTGACAAAAATTGTCCTATCCACGATCAATTATATTTTTCCGACTCAGAAACAACTTCAAATTCATCAAAAAGAGGAAAAAGAAGAATAAAAAAACAATATAAACACAAACCAGTACACTTGTATAATTGGAATCAACCAATTAGGCACATCGATAGTTATATATTAACAGTCATTAAACGAAAAAATGAGCCACAGCCACACTCAAAGTGACGAAAGTCCAGATGACGAAGAAGTTTACCCCTTCCTCGTAGATGCACCCAATGATAGAGGGCAGCATATATTTTGCAAGAATTTACTCCTAAATTTGTTTGAACCCGGAATCAGTCCATGCAAAGCAGAACTCCCACATGTAAAAATCAAAAGACAAATTATTGAACATTATCTGAAAGATATATGTAATTTAACACAACAATACGGAATCTACACCATAGAATTCAGCACACCAAATCCGAATCATCGCAAATATGTAATTCAAACAGACGATCTTGAATTAGAATTTTCAAAAGTATTCTTAGAATATATTAAACGCATACAATATCATAACTCACAAAAAGCAAATTCTATATTCACTAACGAAGTCTTTGCAATAATATATAGCTACATTTCAATATTAGAAAAAACAGAAATTCAAAGTATCTCACCAACTGAGACATCCAAACATATAAAAATACGAAATGAAATTACATTATTTTCAACTTTTCTACATATAATCAAAGAAAATTTCACTAAAGACGATGTTTCACAACACACAAAACATGATTTACAAAAAATTTTGGCATGGTTTATAATAGATTATTTCACACATAATATAGACTTAATTTCACAAGCAAGAAAGAATTGTAGACCTCAAAATCCAAACAATGATACTGCCATCACAGAACAGTCAGATTACGTTTGGGACCCTGAATGGTCTCATCGTGCATTTATAAATATCCCACAATCAATCTCAAGTCAAGCAATAAGTACAATATCTTATCAGAGAGATTATGTGAGATAAGTACCACTGACCATCGATGCAACACCATTGAACTACAATACATTTTTACCTGATACACGAAATAATAGTTTAAATTCGACCGTCATACACAATGAAAACCTTAATGGAACTAGAAATCTTACACAACAAGATATTCAAACACCATCACACTTCATAAATGAAGAAAGCGTCCAAACAACAACAACTACACAACAAAGTATTTCACCAATACGTCCAAATTTAACAACACCAAAAAATACAAACACTTCAACGGCACAAGTAACCTTACAATCAACCGTTAAACCTTCGGTTGCTCCAAAATACTCACAAATGGATTATCAAACATATAGACCTACGACAATACCGTCAAAAACACGAAGAACGTTCACAAGAAACACTTTTGCAGAACACAATTATAACTACGCACATTCGTCAAAAACAAATTATCCCCCACGAAAACCTGATAATAATCATATAAGTTCTCATCATTGGAATAACCCAATGACAACAGCCAACTCAGTAAATTTTCAAACTAATTCACATCCCCCACAGGATCGCAGTGAAAATTACCCATTTTTTCAACAAAATAAAAATAAAAAGCAAGCACCTCATCATACGGATTACTTATCATCTGATGACGAGTATTTAGAACCAGATATTTTTGCACCATATACCCAAGAATATCGCGGACAAGGAGCACAAAAACCTTATACATATAATAGAATTTTCTCTCAAAATCTAACAGAAAAACGAAATCAACAACCAATACAAATGCAAAATCCAACTAATACACAATCTTTTCAACCAATTCAACCACAAAATCCAACGATCACACACTCGTACCAACCAACTCAAATGCAAAACGACATACCACTCCCATATTATCTTCAACAACACGAAATAACAAAGAATCAACTTTCAAATTTTTCACAAATGCCAAATGCCGCAGAATCACTACAAATGACAATGAATCCATACCTTATGGGTGGATCATCAATAACATCAAATAAACCACTAATGGTTTTCACAGGAACAGATCCTGAATATTCTGTAGAAGATTATTTAAATGCAGTAACAGCAAATTTAATTTTAAATATAGGACCTGAACCAATTAATACACCATTACATCAAAATTGGATACATCGACGGACAGCGTTGATACAAACAACCTTAGATGGCGCAGCCCAAAAATGGTTTTCAGTATTACCTATAGAAATAAAATCAGATTGGAAAAGATTTACACAAGAATTTTCAAAAATGTTTGACTCCGAAAGAAATAAACAACACCAAAGAGTTTTATGTAATGAAATTCGCAGATTACCAAATGAAACCATCAAACAATTAGCAGTACGCATCGAAACACTAGTTCGAAAAGCATATTCATTAAATACACATGACTAAAAAAACACAAAAATGACAGAAATTTTAATTATGAACTTAACACCTCAATTAAGGAAAATAGCAATAAAAAAGAGAGCATATCATCCTTCCTCAATTCGAGAGCCAGATTTAGATTTTCGAAAACTAGTAGACAAACTAGAACAAGCGGAAATCACAATGAAACTCGAAGAAACAGAAAATCTAAAACTACAGTATGTTAATCGAATCGAAACAAACACTACGCACATCAGTAACATACAGGAATCAGATACAGATCTAGTTGAAAAAATCACTGAAATACTAAATATTTATGAAAAACACCCAAATTTTAAAGGTAAACCATCTTTCAAAAAATGGTGTAATTATTGCCGACGATACGGACATAGTATCTCTGAATGTAGACAAAAACAACAAGATAACCAGAACAAACCTCAAAAACATAGAGAACCAAACAAATCATTCTATCAATATATGAAGAAAGATCAAAACTTACCAAACAAAAACATATACAGTAACAACAGTTCAGGAAAACCACTTCCGAACAACACCAGTTACACAAGGAATCAATCACCATATAACTCAAGTTATAGAGGAAGATCACCAGAACGAAGAAATACACAGAATTATTCACAAAATAATTATAATCGATC